CGAAATGTTTACTGGTATTAAAACCAAATCCATATTTTTAAAACATTTTCCTTTACGATAGATATATCACAATAAATCTAAATATTACTTTCAAAATGGATTTGAGTTTATATTATATTTACAATAAGGACTCTTTTAAGAAGAAATGGGATTTAAATTTAAAGTTTGGAAACTAAATTGATCAAAAAGTTATCAATTTTTTCGTTTTTATAGTAATTTTCTTTAAAATATTATTTATTTGTAAATTTATTTTTAGATTATATTTTCTATTGACGATAGTATACTATAAAAGTGAATAAACAAGATTGTTTTCATCGCCATAAATAAACGTATTTATTGATAAAATATACGAATTAGACCTACATTATTTTCACTCCAAGAAGTGGTATTAATTGTAAATAAAGTAATTATTTTCATTGAAAATTTAATCAAAAAGTAAGGAATATAAACATTGGTTTAAATGTACAGTAATTTATCTATAAATACTATACAATACGGTTACTTGTATGTCTGTAATAATAAAAGTCCTAAAAAACCCCATAAAAAATGTGGGCGTAATACTTATGTGAGATATTTTTTTTTTGATTTTATGAAATACTTGTAATACAGTAATTTAGTAAATGATAAACATATTTATATATTATAAATGTTTCAATATAAATAATTTGTAAACAAAAAATTCTTAAAATAATTTATAATTGATAAAACAAATAAATGATTTTATTGTTTGATATTTTATAAAGTATAAATATGTTGTTAGTTTAGAAAACTTTTGAGTAAAGTTTGTTTAGTAAATTAAATTAATCAGTTCTTATTTAAGTTATTATGAATAAACACTATGTGGAATATGTTTTATTTAATATTCTTAAGTAAAACAATTACTGATAATTGTAGCTATCATTTATGTCTACTGAAGTACTTTACCTAATTCTATAGCGTTTAAAAATACAAGTATTCAAATCACATGCATATTATATAATATAGTAATTTATCAAATATGACACATAAATAAATATTTAATACTTTATTAAATATTTCTTAGATATGAAACAATATCAACATTTTTTATGACAGGTTGACATTAAAATTTTATCAAGTTGAAATAAAAAATTCTTCATAATAATATTAGTTCTCATAATTACACTATAATTTGCTTAGAGTAGTAAATGAATTAATCTGGTACTAATTGCTTAATGTAATTTAAATGTTAAATAATTTCCTAATTTAAGATTATATAATTTTCTTACGGATAAATAAATTTAAAATAATAATACTATTACTAGTATATCAAACATTATTTAAAGATTTTATATCAATATTAAATTAAATTATATAGTTTTTGCTAAAAAACAAAAAGTCTTCAAAAATATGTGTGTCATCTACAGAAATGGAAAACATTAATATTGTAAGAAAGTATTTTACTTAATATCTACAGTATTTTCTAATTTAATTTAACAGTGAATTGAACATAAATGAGTAAAAAACATGTAATGTCCAACAATTGAAATAAATTTTACAGATTCTTGAAATGTCTAAACTTCAACCAAAATGAACAGATTTGAGGTAATGATAAGAGAAATGATTGACTGCTATTTCGTACAAACTTTTAGATTTTTAAAATTTAAACGTTTAACTTTTTTTTAAAAATTACAAGAAATTAAAGTTTCATTTCAATATTGAGACTGAATTGTTATTAATTATTGAGAGATTGGTTAAAAATATGCACATATGCACAAATATAAATCAATTGCATTTTAAAATATGAATAGACCACAAAGATTTAGTCAATAATGCATTGATTACAAACAAATTCTCATATTCTGTTCCTTCATATAAAGATGACTCGAATTACAATATAATGTCTTTCAATATCAATAACACTATACATCTTAAGGCGAGATCCTATTGAATGATGAATTGATTCAAATTTTTCACTTTATTGATTCAATCAATATTATCATCTTATTTGAGGTAGAATTATGAAATAAATTATATATTAATTATAATTAAAATATATTAATTATTAATTGCATAGAATTACATTTTACTTATTTTATACTCATATTATTAAACGATATGAGTTTCTAAGTTATAAAATTATTAATTATTTTAATTTAAATTCAAAATATTTATTGAAAAAATTAAAAAATGAAAACAATGATAATTAAATAGTAAAAATAATGATTAAAATGACACTTATAGTATTACAAACTCTAAAGATATACTGCATTTAAATTACGATGACTTTTATCTCTTATGATGGAAACAATTATCTAAAAAGTCAATCATTCGTCGATACATATGACCTGTTGATTGATGCAAACCATGTCTGTTATCGGGATATACCTGCGTTTGGTATTTGATATTCGCTTCATTCATAGCCTTTAATAACATCATTGAGTTCATTGTATGCACATTATCTGTGTATTGATTATTTGTTTAGCAAATTATATTGAATTTAAAATTCATTTGGTTTTATGAATACCATCTGCGGTGCCAAACATAATGAGATACTTTTTTCCGTTCAAATGTCTCACTTTGTCCAGAGTTGAGGACTTTAGATAATTTTCAAGATTGTCTCCAGCAGTTGGAAAACCCATAAATCTCTCCACATATACGGAGTCTATTCATACAATTTCAATATAATATATGAATAATAGAAATAATAACTTATTAATAATGATATGAAAATATTATATAAATATTTTACAGCAGTTGGAAAACCCATAAATCTCTCCACATATACGGAGTCTATTCATACAATTTCAATATAATATATGAATAATAGAAATAATTACTTATTAATAATGATATGAAAATATTATATAAATATTTTTGTCTGTTGTCTACGAAACATAAGATTAAGAAATATAATATTATTTGTCCAAAAATAGAGTATAATAATAATAATAATATCAAATTACAACTTCTTAACTCTTCACTAAGACTTTGATTTAGAAATAATTAAAACTTAATACAACACACCGTAATACATCCAATCAGACACCGGTGCCACAGCTATTCCGCATTGAAATACAGTGTCGTTGTAATCATTCTCGAGAGCCATTGTGGTTAAGTACCCGCCGTAAGACCAGCCCCATAAGGATATTGATTTGGGGTCTATATATGACACCTTATCTCTAAAATATCTGATAACAGAATATATTATATATATTTTTGGTTTTATAAATGACATTTAAGTTATAAAATATTTGAATTCTAATTGAACTATATAAGTCGTCCCAAACATACCTGGCCACGGCTATAGTGTCTTCGACCTCGACAGTACCCAGTTTGCGGTAGATGTCAAACATGAATTTGCAGCCATGATTAGGGCTGCCCCTGGTGTCCAAAGTGGCATAAATAACACTCTTATTTGAGACCAAATAAGCGCCGAATTGATGGTAAAAATAATTTTGATGCACAGATATGCTATCACTTCCGGGTCCGCCATAAACGTTGAATATTAGCGGATATTTTTTCGGTGATTTCTCGTCAAAATCTTGCGGAACAATAAGCATTACATCGATCTCTGATAAATGAAATGCATTTTTAGTACAACGACAGTATTCACACAATTCATTAATGAACTATTTGTTACCATAACCTCCCACCGGAACCTTCATTGATATCTTTTTGGGAAGCGATAAGTCTTTTAATTTGAAGTCTAAATGTTTGTTGTCTTCGAGCGTATGAATGAGAGAGTCATCAGACGTCCGTCTAATCTCTGATCGGGGAATATTAGGTCCCAAACAGTTTAGGATATAATATCCAGCATTTTCACTAAATATTGTGTTAGATGTGAGACAGATTTGGGTTTTATCGGTCGAATAGGTATTCATTAGACAGGTATGACACGTGGGAGTTGCTGTTACTGCTGATTGATTTAATGATTTAATGATTGATACGCTCATTAAATGCTTTGATCCAGGACTATCAGGAAAGGTTGCTGTAAAATATCTGAAAAATGTTCAATATTAACACATTAAAAATTTATTACTTAAACTCATTATAAATAAAATTGTCTTACAATTTCTCATTTATTGGATTTATATTTAATATTTTTTTCACTTCAAATACACCAGAAGTCAAATATGTTGATTCGGCAGACTACAGTATTAGTTTAGAAAAATAAACTTTTAATTAATTAATTAATTTAGGAAATTTACCATGATAGACACTTCAGCGATGTGTTCAAAGACATCCTTTTTATTGTCACTCATTTTGGGAACTCTTACGATGTATGAGCTCTTGTCAAGTGTGACCACAGGTTCAGTGAATAAGTCAATCCAACCATTGCTTGTTTGCAGTTTAAAATTCTTCAATTAAAATCATTTTAAATATGAGATCATATTATCATGAATTACAGAATGAGTTAATTACCGAAATGGGTTCAAACGTTTGAGTGTTATAGCTTGTCATGACTGAGAGATTTTGTGCCCTGGTCATCCAATTTATGCTCAATACATCATCATCAATCCATTTACAGGTTGTCATGTAATGGTCACTATTATATACAGAGTATTAAGGTATATATTTGTGCAATAGTTTTGAATATTTGTGAACTGACCCCAAATCCAGAATATCTTTTGGTGGTTTTAAATGAACGGTTAGCTCCTGAACACGAGTTTCATTATACGATTGTAATTGACTTAAATTGATGTAATAAATTTTGATGGTTGGGTTGGGTCGACCAGGTTTGGGGTATCTAACTGTCTCTAGTTTAGTGTACTGGTTACGTGGTACCTTCTCATTCCCATAATAAGGCCATGACATGAGGTCTACAGTGGTATCATTGATGGTGGCATAGGCTAGCTTGTTCCCTGATGGTGATAACCAGAATGTTTTTGGTCCATTTATGATTTCCTCCTCATACACCCAATCAGGTATGCCATTGTATACCATCATTTCCCTTCCAGTACTGGTTAGTCTTATTGCCGGAGCAGTTGGATCCGATTTGTAAAAGATATTATTTTTTTGCACAAAAATAATTTGTGATCCAATGGGTCCCCATTCGGCATAATTTAAATATGTGTCTTGAGGGTAGTCCGGGGCCACTATTGACGCTGATAACTGGCTATTAATATATGATTTTCATATTATTATAACATCACTAATACAGTTTAATAGTTATAATAATTGCATTAATAGAATTACTGTAGTATAATATGGTTTATTATATAATATAACTGACCTTTCATTAATTGAATAGATCCTATACTTAGCCAATGTTGAATATCTATAAACTCTTTGTGCATTATATACGGTTAGAAAGTATTTTCGATCGGGCGATAGGGAGAGACCGGAAAGTCTATAGCGTTTCTGTTGTGACAAACCATTCAAATTAATTTAAACATATTTGCAATCTAAGCTAAATTTGTTGTAATAGTTTATTTACGACAATAATTAGAATATTTAATTATTCTAATTATTAATAAGTATCAATTTAATACTAACTATTATTTCGGTGGCAATGAGAATATCTTTAGACAATTTTAAGACATTAAAAATGCATAAATTATTCTGTGAATCATAATGAAGTATCTCATTGTCTGAAATCCATTTGCCGTAAAATGTCCTAGAACTTAATTCACCGGACATAAAGTTATCGAAAGTAATCGATGGTTTGGAAGGTATAGAAATGTTGTGAACATGTGTTGAATCTGATACTATTGATACAAAATTTTGGTCATCAGTTATTTTGCTTAATGTGTTGTTATATAAAGCGAGCCTGGATGCATTTTGTTTGATTTTGATCTCTTTCTGAACACGACTCCAATATTGTTCGGTGTTCTCGCCGTCGCTATCGATGATCTCATCATAAAATATAGCAAATGCCAGAAATGCTATACTCGTCGCCACTAATCCAATTAGAAATACTACGCCAACAAAGCGTTTAACTGGAGATTTGGGCTGAAAATGAGGCAAATATTGAATTATGGCTTGTGGTGGAAATTTAACACTATCTATTTTATAAATACAATTTATTATGAAAGTATTTTATTTTAGAAAGTTTTAAGTTCATAAATCAACTCATAATTGTATGATAAAATTGAATGACTTCATAAACTAGGGTGTAATTCTAATATTATAACCAATTTTCATAGTCTACTATATTTTTATTTTTTTAATACCGTATTTTCCAAATACGATAAACTTTTTAAATCAATTTCAATTGCTGAATATTTTTATAAATAGTTATTCCAGTATATTTTGTTTTGAATTATATCCCGCACAAACTATGGTTGTTTTATAAACATTATTTACAGTAGCTATACACTTTTCTGTACTTAATTTCACACAAATAAATTTTTATATCATATTAAAAATGTGTGAATAAACGTCGTATTGGATTGAAGACTGAATCTCCATTTTAATCAATTTGATCGAAAAGCACTTAAAGACATTTGAATTGGAGGTATATATTGGATGTGCTCACCTGGTCGTCGTCCGCATACAGGTGTGTAGTACTGATCCCATTGAGGTTTCCGTTGCTAACACTGGTAACGGAATCGTTAACGTGATTGACTTGATAGGATCGGTTCATATTAGGTGTGCTATTGAATGAAGTCGTCGCCACATTTGGCACTTCATAGAAATTCTCATTTATTATAGCATTTCTCTTGGCAAATGTTTTACTCATTTTTTAATTTAATTAATTAATTGCTAGTTTTTTGCCATTGATTTCGAAAAACAGTAATAAACACGAAATTTCTATTACTCGAGACGCCTATTAATCGAAAGCATTTTGTTACAGGAAATTAATTCAATATCTATTCTTATTAGATATTTTATTCTTATATATTTGTATTGAGAAGTAAATGTAGATTTAAGTATATTGTTAATACTTTGATTACAAATCTTTGATTACAATTTTTAGGTTTTAAATGTTTTACTTTTTTAAATGCTTTATTAAATTTCATAAATTCCTAAATGATTGCAAATATTTATGCAAAATACTAAATTTCTTTATATAAGTTCTAACTACTAATTCAGTGAATGTTTTAAAAATTTTCATTAATTCTTTGACCAGTAAGTGGTTTTATTTAAAAATATTTTTATACGCAGACATACAGTAGTTTTAAAAGTTATTAAATTATAAAGTAAAATATTTAAATTGTTGCCTAATAGCATTATATTGCCAAATATTTTGCTAGAAGGCCCAGGATGACTTGCACAATGAGTAGCGGATCTATTTTATGTAATATATAAATTTGACATTTCTCAATAAAAAATTAAAAAATACTTTTTGAAAACATAAGCTTTTTAATACGTTTCTAATAGTAAACCAATGCATGAACTCTGCTTACTGAATTATGAAGTTTTACTAAATTTTGCCACCTTATTTGTATTTTATTTGTAAAAGCATTCAAAGCTTAATAATGTAATTGTAGCTTAATTTAGAGCATTTCCATAATAGGTTTATACCGTATCTATCAATACAGTGCAGTACAAAGTAATGCATTTTCATTATTTAGAAAGCTGTGACTTTTTTGACGAAATATTATTCCACTACTAATACTGAATGACTGATTAAAAAACAAATTATCACTGTTTATAATGTCAATATAATCAAAAGTAATTATCTGATATTTTATATCATAATTATAAAGTTCAGTGCCTAATGGTGTGATAATATGCCTCGTGTTTACTTGTTACTTTAATATACAGCTATTATATATTCAATATATAAATAATTTTACAAAATTTTTTATTTAACGTTAATTTAAGCTGCAAATCGACTGAAACTAAAACTACTAGAAAAATGTGTGAAACAATTTTGGTGACGGGAGGCGCCGGTTATGTGGGCTCTCACTGTGTGCTGGAGTTCTTGCTTAACAAATACGATGTGATAGTTGTCGACAATTTGGTGAATTCGGTGCGACTGGAGGGCAAAGAACTGCCCGAAAGTCTCATACAAGTGGAGAGACTGACCAATCGGAAAGTCAAACAATACATAAACGGAGACTTAAAAGACGAGTCCTTTTTGGATAAAGTCTAATGTCAAACATGAATTTGCAGCCATGATTAGGGCTGCCCCTGGTGTCCAAAGTGGCATAAATAACACTCTTATTTGAGACCAAATAAGCGCCGAATTGATGGTAAAAATAATTTTGATGCACAGATACGCTATCACTTCCGGGTCCGCCATAAACGTTGAATATTAGCGGATATTTTTTCGGTGATTTCTCGTCAAAATCTTGCGGAACAATAAGCATTACATCGATCTCTGATAAATGAAATGTATTTTTAGTACAACGACAGTATTCACACAACTCATTAATGAACTATTTGTTACCATAACCTCCCACCGGAACCTTCATTGATATCTTTTTGGGAAGCGATAAGTCTTTTAATTTGAAGTCTAAATGTTTGTTGTCTTCGAGCGTATGGATGAGAGAGTCATCAGACGTCCGTCTAATCTCTGATCGGGGAATATTAGGTCCCAAACAGTTTAGGATATAATATCCAGCATTTTCACTAAATATTGTGTTAGATGTGAGACAGATTTGGGTTTTATCGGTCGAATAGGTATTCATTAGACAGGTATGACACGTGGGAGTTGCTGTTACTGCTGATTGATTTAATGATACGCTCATTAAATGCTTTGATCCAGGACTATCAGGAAAGGTTGCTGTGAAATATCTGAAAAATGTTCAATATTAACACATTAAAAATTTATTAATTAAACTCATTATAAAATAAAATGGTCTTACAATTTCTCATTTATTGGATTTATATTTAATATTTTTTTCACTTCGAATACACCAGAAGTCAAATATGTTGATTCGGCAGACTACAGTATTTGTTTAGAAAAATAAACTTTTAATTAATTAATTAATTAATTTAGGAAATATACCATGATAGACACTTCAGCGATGTGTTCAAAGACATCCTTTTTATTGTCACTCATTTTGGGAACTCTTACGATGTATGAGCTCTTGTCAAGTGTGACCACAGGTTCAGTGAATAAGTCAATCCAACCATTGCTTGTTTGCAGTTTAAAATTCTTCAATTAAAATCATTTTAAATATGAAATTATATTATCATGAATTACAGAATGAGTTAATTACGGAGATAGGTTCAAACGTTTGAGTGTTATAGCTTGTCATGACTGAGAAATTTTGTGCCCTGGTCATCCAATTTATGGTCAATACATCATCATCAATCCATTTACAGGTTGTCATGTAATGGTCACTATTATATACAGAGTATTAAGATATATATTTGTGCAATAGTTTTGAATATCCGTGAACTGACCCCAAATCCAGAATATCTTTTGGTGGTTTTAAATGAACGGTTAGCTCCTGAACACGACTTTCATTATACGATTGTAATTGACTTAAATTGATGTAATAAAGTTTGATGGTTGGGTTGGGTCGACCAGGTTTGGGGTATCTAACTGTCTCTAGTTTAGTGTACTGGTTCTTTGGTACCTTCTCATTCCCATAATAAGGCCATGACATGAGGTCTACAGTGGTATCATTGATGGTGGCATAGGCTAGCTTGTTCCCTGATGGTGATAACCAGAATGTTTTTGGTCCATTTATGATTTCC